GGATTTTATATAAAAAGGTGTCAACCCAAAAGAAACAAATGTTATCTCTTGAAATAAAGATTGACACAATGGAAAATAATTTTCAAGATGAAAAACAATTTTTTCTAGAAAAGGAAAAACAAAACCTTACATACAAATATTGAGATTCACTTTCTTTCCAAATTGTCCAATTAAAAAGAGTTCTTGAAAGGTATAAAAAAGGACAAGTTTGATTGGATAATATCCTTAGTCAATAAAGGTATTCAAATGATAAAAGTGGTCTTGGTTATTCTAAATATAACAAACCAAGTACTAGTAAAAATACCTTTGTTAAGGAAAGTGACCAATCCAACAAGGAAAAAGTGAATAAAGCACAAAAGGTTCATCATCATCCTAAGAATAGGTGTCCTAAAAAGAAATATTATATTTCTAGATATAGAAGTAACTATATTTCTACATGTTTTTATTGTGGTATAAGTGGTCATACACATAATGTTTACTATGTTAGAAACTTTAGTGTGGCAAGTGGGTATTATGTGTGGGTTAAGCAGGGAATTAACTATGAAGTGCTCAAGGCACATTGGGTACCAAACAAAACTTAACCTGTGTTGCAGGTTTGCTTGGAGACCACTTCAATTATATGCTATTTTGATAAGTGGTTGTTCCAAGCTTTTCTCGGGAGATATATACTAACTTTCAAATCAAGTTCTAAAGTCCAAGGGTTATTTAAAAAATGGGGAATACCTTAAAAGAAGAATTCTTGACATGGGCAAAGTTAAAGCACTAACTTTCACATCATTTGAAGATGTACTTTATGTTGAAGGACTAAAGCATAATTTGTTAAGTATAAATCAACTTTGTGACAAAGACTTCAAAATCAAGTTCACCAAAGATGTATGCTTGGTTGAAGATGAAGTCACTCATGAGGTAAAACTCAAAGGTATAAGAATAATCAATCTTTGCTTATGTTCTATGTTGAATGAATAATGCATGCTTATCACTTTATTATCTTTCACCCATCTTTTCCTTCTTTTTAATAATGTCAAAGGGGGAGAAGGGTGTTATGTGTTATGCTTGTGTATTTCCTTGTCTTAAACGTTTAAGGTACAAAGAATCCTTCAATATGATCAAGTCTAAATAATTATAAGCTTCACATACAAAAGGGGAGTTATACATCCTAGGGGAGAAGTGTTCCGGAAATTACAAAGCATCAAAAGGAATGTTTGTCATCATAAAAAATGGGGAGAATGTGAAGTCAAATTTCTCTATGATGAATATTTTTTGATGAAGACAAATAATCTCTTAGTGACAAGAAGGCAAAGATGAACTTCAAAGATAAAGCATCATGTCCAAATTCAAGCAATTACATTACAAAGTTAAAGAATCATGATTCAAGGCTTTGGATTCAAGCTATTGTATTTCAAGAATATATAATGATAATATTTACCTTCACTAAAGTCTTAGATGCTCAAGTAATCAATGAATCATTGCGTAACATATATTTGTTCATGACAAAGGTCTTAGGCTTATTTTTTCAATGATTTAACTGAGTTAATTGATTTACACAGTAAGGAAATCGATTTACCACTGTAAGTTTTTGAAAAAATTTAAACGTTACTACTAGATAAATTGATTTTCCAATATAGTAAATCGATTTACCTCTGTGCGAATTTGAAAAAACAGCAACTCTTTCAACACATCTTCATGCACCACTTCATGGAACTATTTCACTTTAACTTGACAATTGTTCATGATATTTTTGCATAACTTTACAATGTTTCATAGATGTGTTATGCACTTATAAATACATGAAATTTCAAATCACATTTCACCTATTCCAATCAAAATCTCTTAGAATTTTCAGAATTCACATTTCTAGTTTTCAACTTTTATTCAAGATATTTTTTGCATATTTTCACATCATCCAAACCAAGAAATACTTGAGAAATCTAACACCTTAGTACTTGTGAATTATTATCAGTGGAAGGGAAGATCAATTACATTGATATATCACTTAGTGTGATCCTTACTACAAACTTATCTATTAAAAAACTCTTGTTGTATCACATCTTTTTTTCCAGGATTGTGTGAAGTGTATTCCTTATTTTCAGGATTGTTGGAAACAAGATAGTAGAAAGGAAAGGATTGTTTTCTTATTCTACTTGTTTGGTTTTTCCTTGATGTCCAGGATTGTTGGAAGAAAAAGAGTTTAGTTTGAGAGGATTGTTCTTATTTCAACTTGGTTGATCCTAGAGAGTTGCTCTTGGTGGTTTTATTGTTAGAAGAATGTAGAAGAAGTCTTGATGTGAGGCTTGTACAAAGATCTAACAATAGTGAAATCTCTTTCATGTTGAAAGGGGGTTAGACGTACTCTCGGACTATGAGGGGAACTAGGATACATCCTTGTGTTCTTTACTTTTCTGCATTTACCACTTTCATGACAAATCTTAACCAAAAAAAAAAAAGAAACATATTTCTAAACTCTTTAACCAAACTAGAAAAATAAGAACAACTTGTTTCTAAAACCAGATAATTTTTAAAGTCTTAATTCACCACCCCTATTAGGAACACTCAATACATACAGTTATATTGGGTAAAGATAATGTAGGAAATCCATATTCTACTACTATCTCTATTGTTACTTATTGTTGAAGAGTTTGTGCATGTACTCTTGATGAATCTTATCCTAGAAATGTCGAGAAAGGTATTTCTTTTCATGATGCAGGTGTATTTTCAGAAGACATACTCAAAGACACCGAAGAAGGACTGACCAGCTTGAAGCGGTGAAACCCGAGGAGGAGGAAGATGGTCCTTAAAAGGAGAAAAATGAAAGTCCAACTAAAGTGGATGATCTTATCTTAGCTTGTAGGACTTCCAAGGACTCTCCAATCGACAATATTCTTGGAGACATCACCAAATGCGTAACTACACACTCCAAGATAACTCAAAGAAGGGACGTTTATGTGTCAAACATAGCACTACCAAGAATTTCTAAAACGATTTAGAATGGTAGATGAAAATTTATTTGACACTCTAATGCTCACAAATGGGAACTTAGAAAAAGATGATAGTGGTAAGGACGTTGAAGTCAAAAAGTATAGTGGTACTCTTGAAAGTTGTTTCAACTTTTGTTCGAAAGTTCCATTTCATGTAAGTGCATCCTTCATCCTTCATCCAGTGAGGTAATATTGTTTTACTTATCTCTTTGTTCATAAGTTTTTATTTCTCGCATTGCTTATCTATGGTTCCTATAATTTAATTGTGTGTTTATGCTCCAGAAATGTGTGATATTTTTTATGTATAATGCAAATCTCATGACTATTCATTTCCAAAAAAAATGTTGTTAACATATGAGTGTTTCCAATCTATATGTTTATAGTGACGTCATGTTTTAATCTTTTGTATTTCATCATCATATATATTTCATAATGTAAATCCTTCGAAATTGAATTAATTTTGATGTTATTTTGCTTGAGCATGTTATTTATCTTTATTGCATGAAAATCAACATTTTTGCATGAATTGGTCTATGTCCATAATGCATGTCTCTACTAAAAACTTCATAAGTCAACCTATGATCTTATTTTGTCAAGAATTTTCTCATATTTCATTTCTGGACAGCTATTGCCAACTCCAAACTTTCATGGGTCGACATATTTTCATCAATTTTTGTGTTTTTCAATTTTGGTTAAGTAGGAGTCCACTCCCCAGCCTATGGATTGAATCATTCGCAAAAAAATTGATAAAATTTTCATTTTGGTATAGTAGGAGTCAACTCCCACATTCTATGGGTCGACTCCCTCAAAAAATCCTAAAAAACCCAAAATCTCTGTCCAGTTGGAGTCGACTCCTATATGTTATGGGTCGGCTCATTCTCTTAAATTCTTCAGTTTTTTGGTTTTTGTTCTATTCATACTTTAGGGGTGGACTCACTTTTGTCTAAGCTAACCTACACTTCTTCTTCTTCTCAACCGTGTTCACGTCCTTCATCTTCAACCTCAATCAACACAACTTTTCATCTTCATCTAATCTAACCCTCACAATCCTTCATTCCAATAAACCCATCTCTTCACAACCTAATTTATCTCTCAACCCATTCCTTTTTCATTTTCCCCTTTCTATAAAACCCTTATTTCCCAAATCTTTAACAACTCTCCAAATATCATTTGATTTTCATCTATTTTCTTCTTTGTGTTGTTAACATCAATTTGTAATAGGTTTGGCTAGTGTGTATTCCAACATCACTTAAAATCCTCATATTCTAATTCAAACATTTTGTCAAACACCTTGTGTGCCACTCTCAAATCCAAAAAGCATGCCTCCCAAGACCAAAAAGGGCAAGAATGTTGTAGGTTCCACTTCACCCACCATTGTAAGTGTTATTTCTCTCCTTCATCCTAATTGTGTTGAAGTCTTTGAGAACAAATTTAGAAATAGGATTGTATGAAGAAACATGTCTATGATTCTGCCATTGTTGCAACTTTACACATTCCAGAGATAGTTGAACTTATGGAACATCAAAAGATCAACTACTTTTTGAGAGTAAATACATATTATAATGAAGACTTGATAAGGATCTTTTATACTGGGTTAGAGAAAAAGGTTGGAGCTGCATTCTGTTTTAGGATAGGAATCTAATCATATTATGTTACTCAGGAAGTGTGGGAAAACTTATTTGGTATTCGGATACTTAGTATTGACTCAAACATCTCTAATTCTTCATTATATCACAATTTTGATTGGAGGCTTTACTTGAATTCATGTCTAAAGGCATTAAGGCCTGATGAAAACATGGAAAAATTTCAATCGAGAATTTTAAGAGAAATCCATGTATACTTCATTGGATTGTTACCCATGTGTTGTATCCTAGTAAAAGAGGTCACTTTCGGATCAATCATGTTGAGGTACATTTAATGTACATTATTCAAAATAGGCTTATGATTAGTTGGACATATTATATTGTCTCTAGGATGTTATCTATTTGAGAGTGTAACACAGGATGATCTTTATGTTACCCTTTGATGATTAGTAAGATTCTTAAGCACTTCCGTATTAGTGTGTCAAATCTTCTATACATTTCACCTGGTCAAACTCAAGAGTTCAACAAGACTACAATGACAAACATGTGGCATAAGTGGGATAAGGAACAAAATGCTTACTACTTCTCTATGAAGGGGTCCCAAAGACGCATGTATAACTTTAATGATCTAATTGAACTTGATTTGGTACATGTTTAAGAGCAACAAGTGGAAAACAATGATCAGTATGATAATGCAGCAATTCCAGATGCTCACTATGGTGAAGATGAGGCTTGGCTCCAAAATTAGCCAGTTCAACAAGAAGAAGAAGACCAACAAGGTTGGGGATAATGGCAGCAGAACTATTTGACTCAATGTGGCACACTATACGAAAATCATTCTGTTATTGGTTCAAGTGGTGCTGAATCTACCATTATCACCATGCTTGAAAACATGTGTGTTCAGCAGCAAGAGTACCAACAAGATGAGTCTCGTAGGCGTGATGCCTCTGAAGCAGCTTAGGAGACTCGTTTTTGTTTGGTCCAAGAACATCTAAATGACCAATACATCAGATTCAACAACCTTGACTCATATGTCAGAGGCCAATTTACTTATATTCGTGAGAACATGGCCTTAAAACATGGTTCCACTCAATTCTAAATTAATAGCTTGATTGGTTTTCAAGAGGAAAATCACCATCATTACAGACAGTTCTATAGGGAAATGTGTGATTTCTTGGAACTAAATATGGAAACCAAGAAGGAGCTTGGTATAGGGGTAAAAGACCAGAAGCTAGGGGTCATGGAGGTCCTGCACATTAGTTATGTTTCATTGTGGACTCTGTTGCTTTTGCATGCATTTTCACTTTTTGTTTCATGTTTGTTATATCTTGGTTGTGGTTGTTTTATTGCAATTTTTGTATAACAATCTTGCAGTATGTTTGTAATGAACTAACTTTGATTTTGAATGCAGTGTTGTTTATTTATGTTTAAGCGTTTTCACTTTAACGTCATTCTATGTGAGTGTTGTTATTGTTGATCAAAATTTATCTTAGCAACACCTTTGAATGGTATACATGTGATTGTATATTTTACTTGATTTACGTTTTATGGCTTTTTCTCTTTTTGATGTTGTCAAAGAGAGAGAAGCTATGCAATAACAAAAAACATAGTATGTTTACAAATTAAAAGGGAGATGCAAATATTCAAGGGGAAATATGATCAAAGACTACAAATACGTCGTACGTTTGTCCATCATAAAAAAGGGGGAGTATGTGAGCATCATCCTCTTAGATGTTTTGAATGATGTCAAAACTAGGTAGTATTTAGTATTGGTACATTAGAACTTGTCTCAATATGTCAAAGGTTGCATTTTCATCTTAAGACACTTATTGAACAATTCAAAAGTATTTGGATAAGTAAAAAATATGATTTTTCATGAAAAAAAAATTTGGAGTCGACATATACATGTTAGAAGTTGGCTCCCTTTGAAGAAAAATGAAGAAAAAAAATCATGGTGCTTTGGAGTCGATGCATAGGCATTTGGAGTCGACATACATCACGAATGGGTCGACTCCCTCGAGTTGTGGGTCGACTCCCATTGAGAGAAATTTTGAATCAAAATCCCTGTCCATAATGAGTCAATACACTAGGCTTGTGAGTCGACACCCAACATGAATGGGTTGACTCCCTCGAGTTGTGGGTCGACTCCTACTAAAAGCTTTTTTCGTCCAAAATTTCATGTCATCTTGGAGTCTACTCCCAGGCAGCATCGTTCGACTCCCTATGCGAATGATTAAATACATTATGACTTAAAAATGTCCAAATTTGTAATTTTACAAACCTGATTTTTCTATTATTTCTTTCACGCACGCACGCACGCACGCACACACACACACACACATTGCAAATTGTGAATCCATTAATTGTGCAATTAATACATTGAGATAACTTCTTTGTTAATAATATTTCAAATTGCTTTGTTGAGTTGATTGCAATCTATAAGATTGCAATTGAATTTTCATATCAACAAAATCAAAGAAATTTTTTATTAGAATTGATTGCACACCAAGTGTTCGACAAATTGCTTATGTCAATTTTTTGTTTAATATTTTATTAGAAATCGATTATCATTATGTTTTTTTATTCAAACGTTATATTTGAGAATATATTTATTAGTTCTATCATCATTTGAATGCCTTTTGATATGGTTTAACACATATTTGATCATTTCGAAACGGTTTGGGATATAAGATTGTCGATCCCGAATTAATTTTGCTTGCCATAGTTTAACTTTTTTTAAACAATTGTTAAACAAGAAAATTTCATTAGCGATCTATTCACCCTCTCTAGATCGTTTCCTACTGTCTAACACCCTTAGCCCTAGCCAACCTTCTTCCAGGGATGGTGTTGGGATTGTTGAGGACTAGACTCGGTCTCCACCTACTAATACAAAAAGGGATAGGGACCAAGAACAAAGCCATATCCAATATCCAAATCAATTACAAAGTCCAATTTAGATCTTGAATTTCACATGTGCTAACTATATACGCTGGATAATCTTGATTGAGCTTGTGCATGATTAGATCTTTGTATTGGGTCTTTGGCCGACACAAAACAATTTAGAGAAGATAATATGGAGTTTGGTTTAGTGAAGACATGGTGTTTCCAAGTCTGGTTAAGTGAATAAATGGTGTTTTCGAGTTTGTTTTAGTGGAGAAGATGAAGAAATGGTGCTTTGTTTGTTTACGGAAAATGGTGCATGGTAGGAATTATCCTTTTAAAGTTTTTATTATTCACCATCTTCTTTTTGTGATGCAATATCTTCTCAATATGATTATGAATATTTTTCTCAATATTGTCAATCAAGGCAAGTAGTAAATCATTGATTTTTTTGTCTTGGATGACAAAATCGAGAAATTATTCCTAACAACAACAATAACAAGAACAACAACAATAAATAGAGTTTGGTTTAGGAGAGAAATAAAGTTTGGTTTAGGGGAGAAATAGAGAATCTCTAATGGAAGATGAAGTTTAACAGTAAAGGATGAGTTAAGTTTAAGGAGAAAGTAAAAGAATGTAGGGCTTTATAAACAAAATTTGGTAATGTTTCCTCTCGATTATTTGATCTAACTAAGGGGAAAGGTAATTAATTTTAATTATAAAATTAAAAAAAAAATCACCACTTTTATTATATATAACATACTACATTACTGGTGCTGAGAATCAAAACTTGTCGTAAGTGATTTTTCCCCTCGGTTATCATATCAACAAAGAGAATAAGAGATATAGTTTTTAGTGAAAAATTAAAATAAAACTAGGGTGCCTTATGGAATAGATATTACCTCGAAGGATCAGCGGACCGAGGTAAAATCTCGTTAGGAAATCTCTATTTGTTGTAGTGCCACAAGACAATAATAATAATAAACACATTATTATTATTATTATTACTATTATTATTATTATTATTATTATTGTTATTTTTATTGTTATTATTATTAAATTTTGTTAATTAAATAAATTAAAAATAAATTTTGGCGATTGATCACACTTTTGCAAAGCCTAAAGGCACATCTCTTACACCGTCACAAACCCTAATTGTATAACTCATGACAATATAACTTTTGTACTGTCATATACCTTAATGCAATATGTTCATACCATAAAAACATAAAGACCGGGTTATTCAATACGACTAATCAAAATGTCTTTATTTCAGTATACAAATATCGGATTTTGAAGTAGAATGAATGTTATTGATTTAAATGAATAATATTCATTACACTAACCAAATGGAATAAACAAAATAATATATCAAATAGATGATTGTCGCACAAGAAGCATTTATATCATATATATAAACTGATAAATCATATTTGTATCACTTATGGATAATTAAGATATCATGGATTCACCGTACAAACGTCAGATTCTGAAGCATATGCAACATCGAACATCCAAATTATACAAAACACAATGTCAATTTTTTGTTTCTCTATTATTATTTAATTTATTTTGTATGTTTTACAACTATCCAATATATGGTTTCACAAGTGGCTCAAATGCCACTCAAGGGAAATCATGGTATAAAACGCAATAGAAAACAATTTTTTCCCTTAAATCCATCCTTACAAAAGACCACGATCAGTGATAGATTGAATACCTCTTGCAGCGATTAACTATTGATGCAAAATTAAAAGAATGATCACGAATATTAAACAACAACGTCACTACTTAGTCCACATGAATCATGTGCCTTTAATCTCATTGCTAATTGCTATGAATGAAGACTTTGAGAAGGAGGGAAAATACGACTAGGGTATCAGAAATTGAATTTCATCAAGTGAGAAAACTTCAGCATGAGGGTTCTGTTTATAGAATCGCTTGTGAGGATTGTAATATAAAAAAGCTCACTTAAGTAAATTGTACCTTACATTTGTTTGTATTACACTTAAGTATATTGTACCTTACAACGTATCATGTTTCTCTAATTAACGCTAGTGCATTCCAAGGATGCGCAATCAAACAAACTTCACATATTTATTTTATCATTCATCAATTTATCCTTAAGTGTGTGGCCATGTAGGTTATCGGTACATTGACAATTATACTAAATCATACATTTAATATAATAAACAGTGAGTAGTATCCAACAACACGTCACTGCTATTTAAGTCACGAAAATGTCATGTGATATGACAAAATATTTATGTGATGATATTTATGTGTATAATAACCTTTTTTTCTTATGTCTATATTGAACACAAGGCTAGACCGTGTCACCATTGTTCAGTTTAATATTGAGCCCTTAGACATTTATCCTGTTATGCAGGATGAGAAAATTCTATCTAAGTCACTCATGTCCCTCAACATGAGTTTTAGAGTATGCCTCAACCATCTTTATGGTTATCTTATTATAGACCATGTTTAATCAACAATAAAGTATCTGACTCCTCATTTAGGGTTCATTGTGGTTTCAAGTTGAAGGGTGATATACACCACTATCACCATGAGAATAACTTATGACATTCTATGTAGATTTCCATAATGGATTGATCTAATATATATTACTCCTAATATACATACATATGAGAAGACTTGCTAATTATTTATCCATGATCCATGAGATGTGATCATTAGTTTATCCATATAATAATCTCAATACTTTAATATTATCTCACTTCACAATAAAACTCGACTACATATACTTTTAAGAATAAT